AGATTGTCCGTATCACGCGTACGAACAGTTTTCTGGACATGTTTATGCAGATCAAAGCAAACCAACCTGCAATGTACGCGAGGGGGGAGGCTGCTCTGTACCGAGCGAAAATGGAAACCGTTCTGATGCGAACCACCCACGGCAAGGAGTGTTTTCGGAGTGCTGCTGAAGGACTAGCGATGTGTTACGAGACCTACAAGTTCCTGATCGTCGCTGAGTCTGCCACGAAGAAAACACGTGACAAGTTCTTCGCAGAAGACGTGGAGGGACTGAATCTGGATCCAGCAATCACAGGCGACTATGGATGCTGCAGTGAAGGCCCATCAGCAGGAAACAAAGGATCTGGAAAAGAAAGTGACCGAGCTGATGAGCCTAATGAAGACTGTTCAGGAAGAAACTGGCAATATCAGTGCATGTCAACAGAATATGGAAGAGCGATTTGCAGTTTTCGAGGAGAAAAAAGAGCTCCCAAAAGAAAGAAGAAGAAAATCCGCATGAACGTTCCAGAGGCCGAAGTGGAAGAGGATGTGCTCGATCTCGACTTTGTTGAAGAAGAACTCGCACTTCGAGATGATTCGGAAATCGCGGTGCATGATACTGGGACACAGGTGCATGATGGATGAACTTCCTGAAACGAGCTCATATCTGGAACGTAGACGACGCGAGATATTGTCTCAAATTGAAGCCCTCGAGAGCATGCTAAAGGCTAACTGTGTATTTCATACGTGGACGTGATGAGACCAGAGGAAAGGAATCTGCGATGTTCATTCTGTGATGAAAAGGGCCAACATTACAGTGACAGCTGCCCCAGGTATCGGTACGTGGAGACACGAAAGAAACGCATTCGCTGCGTCAAATGTCTGGACACTGACCACTCAAAGGAGCAATGTGGACGATCGGTGAGGAATTGCGTCTATTGTAAGGACGACTCACACAACAAGGCGCTATGTACGCTTCCCGAGACCATCGAGCAAAACGAATGGGAGCTGAGGAAGCTTCGAAGGGAGTTAGACGCCCTAGAAGGAGATATGGTGGGACCGTCAACTTCGGGGAGCGCGCAGTATCACGAACGTCGTGATTCGAGAAATTACAGGTAGAAAGTTACATGTAGAATTGTACGATTTCCAACATGAAAGCTTTATCTTTCGCAAAAATCTCAACTTGAAGCTTTCTTTGTTTTGAGTGGGTGAGACTTTTGTTGAACATTCTGTTGAAGGCGCTGATGGATCGACGCATAAATAGGAGTCTTCGAGACGCAGAGGACAGTCGGCAGCGGTGCATGAGTTCAGTGCATGCATATCTTATGCATTTCTTCTCTCCTTTTGTATCATTTACCGTAGTTCCAAGTTCATGGCTTAATCTAGGCTCTTAGTTCATAACTCCTTGTTCACGCATGATTTACCGTAGTTCAAGTTCATGGCTTACTCTAAGCTCTTAGTTCATAACTCCTCTGTTACGCATTATTTACCTTAGTAAAGTTCATGGCTTATTCCAGGCTCTTAGTTCATAATTCCTTATTTACGTATCATTTACCTTAGTCCTAGTTCATGGCTTATCGCAGACTCTTAGCTCATGGTTTTCTTACTCACGCATTATTTGCCCTCTTTCTGGTGCATGGCTTATCCCTTATTCCTACTTCATGACCCATTCTGTTCCATATTTCGTTTATATTATTTGTTTATTTTTACGTTGGATAAGGCGAATCGTGGGAAATACAATGTGGGATAAGTCACGTCATGATACATATTGAACTGATCAGCTCTCAACTTTTGATTTTATTAATCTTTAATAATGTACTCATCTTCATTCTTTCCATATTTCTTTTAATATCTCATCCTCCATGCCTTGTTAAGCACTTGAATCTTAAATGTGCCTGTTAACTATCACAGATTTAATCATTATTGTTTCTTTTTTGGATTACATGTTATTTTGTAGTTTTTTAACGTAATATTATATTGATTTTTCTTACTATTCGTTTAATTACCCAAGTTTGAGCTGGTGCGATTTCGTTGGTCAAAATAAACGAGCATTTATCCGCGTGGCACAAAGCAGTGCCGTTTTTATATACGTTAGTTCTGGAGGTGTTGTGTATCGCACATGTATGCCAACTGGATTCGTAGATGTCTTATCTTGCTAGCAATGGAGCGATCACAACATGCGCATCTTCACCTGATGAAGGAAATTGGTTTCGAGCATGGTGTTGCTCTATTGAGGAGATCAATGTTAGCCACAATTCTTCCTAAACACCATGGCAAGAAAGGCAAGGAAAACCTTCGGCAGGGGAAGAGCCAGGAATATGGAATAAAACGCGTCCAATTTGAGGAGGTTGTCCCATTAGACAGTGAAACCAGTAATTGATTCCTTACTCAGAACTTGTTGAGGTTTTCGTACTCCAGAATGCTTTATTCGTATAGTTCCTTGTAATGGTATGCTAATTGTTTCCAGAAGGTTATCAAGTAAGTATTGAATCTGCTCAACGTTTCTATTATGCGTTAGATTGTTTTGTTGAATTGTAAGCTTTTACAATAAATTGAAATTTACTTGGAATTCGGTCATACTCGAGAATTTTAAAGTAACAATTTTTTCTTTCTGAATTCTTTCTCCCATTCAACAGCAATACACTTGCTAAGTGGAGAAGGCTTGCCTCTGAACCGCCACTTTCAAACAGTGTTGAGTCGCTGGTACATCGTTCGACTCGCTGGTACATAGTTCGACTCGCTGGTGCAAAGTTCGATTCGCTGGTGCAACGTTCGATTCGCTGGCGCAACGCTCGGATCCAGCGATTCGCTAGCGAATCGCTCGATTCGCAAACTATGACATCGGCCTATCTCGACGACCTCGTTGAGCTCGTACCGTGCACATGCTTCCGTGGGAAAATCTTCTGATGTCGTCGGTGTAGAAGGCTGTTGTGTAGCTTGTTGATAGATTATAACGTGCTCTTTAATATTCAGTTGAATTCCGTTTCGAATGTGGAGTAAAGTGTCCTTTTTTGGCCACCCCTGTATATCCCCCGCACCCATTACACTCATTTTTTTTCGCGCACGCCTGATTCTTTTAGAAGTTTCTTGTATTCATTCCATGGAAGAGACCTTGACGTAGCTACAAACATAGTGGCCCATAGAATGGTCACGTATGCTTTAATTTAGAGGAGGATTTCTGAACCATACGAAATCTTCAGTTCAATAAATTTTTCGTTTACTTTTTCTTTTTATGAATGTGAAGATTTAAATAGTAGTAGAAGTAGATACGGAACCTTAGGGATGACAATATGTGTGTTTTGATTGAAATAATCAACGTAAAATTGCTTTTGAGGTCCATTGCAGCTAGTTCTGACAAATTTCGCTTTTTCATTGTTATTCCATGTCTTTCGATCGAAATTCCACTACTGTACCCCTGGTAGGTTGTGCTCATTACAATTTACTGATCTGGTTTTGTATTGATCATTATTTATGTATTTATCACTCAAAATCTGCTTGAACGACCTGAGGCGGCCGCGCCCGCAAAATCGCCCGGTCCCACGTGGCCAAAAAAGCCAAAACTCGCGTTGTCGTCAATGTGTTAACAATAAACAGATGTTAGTTGAATGGGGTTGCGTTGATTGGTAAAAAATATTAATATGCTCTCGAGGATCTTACGAAGTGTTTACTTAAATCCTCTCAGTAACTCCCACTTTGCTGGTATGTCCTTCACTGACGCAAAAAAATCGTTTGCAAGAGAGCATACATATGAATCAATACTGGCTGTATAAATAAACTCCATCTATTTTCAATTACACTGTAGTCTTTTTTTCTGAATACATCCATTCGTGTTTTCTCCCATCTGCTTTTGCACAGACTAGCAGTGCTGTGAGCAGTGCGGCATCAAAAATTGAATGAGGTGAAGCGTTGAAGTCCTGTCACGGGATACGTGTAATGCTGAAACGCTTGGATGTAATGTAACTGTTCATCCTTTCAAAGGCACGTC